CTTCAACAGTATAGTATCAATTTACATCCTGATCCTACATGTCTAAAGCTTAAATACATAACAGTTCATACATATATTAACTTCTTCCCCATTTTCATTATTAGAATTCACTAATAATCTGACTGCTCCACTGTCTGAGGAAGGAAGGAAGATCTGACCTCTCTTCACTAGGGGAGAAAGGAACCATTGTATGTTATATTGCTTATGTTGTTATTCTCTTCCTATTCAAAGTAAAACAAGTTTCTAATGACCGCAGAATTGGAGTTCTCTGGGCACTTGCTTTAAAACACAGTAGAGAAGTTAGAACACTGATGGCCCTATATGTATACCTGCACACACAATAGGGTATGCACAGTAGTAAAAATAATATGAAGGAAATGCAGTAAAGGAGTAGGAAAACAAAATATCATACCAAGCTTTAGATTTAAAAATAGCAATAACTTCACAATTATAATTTGGTGAGCAAGATGTGAGTTGCTGTCAAAACAACAGAACAACTCTTAACACCAAAAAAAATCTGACCACATAGACCAAAAATTTAAAAAGAGCAATGAATTAATCAGTAAATAAGTCCAAATTTTTCTACAGCTCTTTAAGAGAGCAAATTACACCATACGAACTGGAGAGAAAATTTTAGTCAAACCCTCCATTAACGGATGATTGGAGTTTTAAAGATCCTGAAGTTCTTTACAAATTAAAAACTTGCAGAGGAACCTCCAATATGTATTTACACATGGATTGAAACCAAATGGCCAAATAGTTACTTTACATGTAACACAGCTGTGGGAGAGAAGGGAGTTCTGACCAAATGCTGTTAAAAACTTTAATCAAAATCACTGTGACAGTCCTAAGTTTGATTTTAAAAATAAATACAGGCAAATGCATGCACACAGCTGTACTTAAGCCCAACTTTGAGGAATCCTGCTTTGAGGATTCTAGCAGTGTAGTTAGGACATAGGTCATTAAGGTCTTATCTAAAAGATAATCTCCCTAAAAAATGATGGAAACCTATTGCTCCAGTCACCCAGCACTGGATGAGGCATTGAAGAACGTGCTTCAGGAGTAATCCTCTACTAGCAGGGGAAGAGATTAAATGGCCCAATAGCTTTTTCCATCTTTAGTTGTTATGATTGCACTGTAATCCGACTAGTGCCACTTGCCCGAAGAGGGGAAGAAGACCTCAACCTTGGGGGTAGAGAAGGACACAATATTTCATTGTGTACAATATTTCAGAAGCTATTCTTCCCAGAGAGCTCCTCTCAGATTAGTGTTGTTGGGAAAGGTTTATCATTTGCATTCCCATTTCTGCAGTCAACCCAAGTAATATGATTGTGGCATTAAACTTATCCTACAAAAGGTATTTGTTTAAGACATTTCTTTTCCATTATTACTCACACAATGAATGTATGCACTGGGTTTCTAGAAGTCTGCACCAAAAACAACTTTTAAGCCCAGAATCACATTTCCTTCTCCATCGGCCTTAATTCCTCTATTGAAACTTTTTGCTGACTAGTTGAAAGGGGCCGTTCACTCACTTTGCAAAACCCAATATGCGATTTATTCCCACATTTCAAAGGAAGAATGGGAAGCTTTTAAATCTCTACAAAGGAACCGAGTAATACTGATCAAGCCCAACTGACAAGGGGACAGATGTGGGGTGATGAGTGAATTCTATAAGACGCTTTAAAATTTGTATCACTGAAGACAAGTGTCTTCCAGGAGTAGCAATTTGATTCCCCCCGGCACAGCTCATTTGGCTGAGTAGAAGTGCCGCAGTTCTTCTTCAGTCTTCAAGAAGTACAAGCTCCATCTCAACAAGGTGGACATGTTCTGGAGCTAAAGCATACTGCAAAAGGACGTCACCTGCATTGCAACTCGTTAGAGCCTCTAAATCCAAAAATTCTTAAGAGGAAAAGGATTTGAAACCCTTTCTCACCAAGGAAAACGTTCCTGTGCTGTTCCCAGCTCTGAAACTGTTTATCAGCTTCATCTACGTGTTACTCATTGTGCCGCAAACTTTCTTGAGTTCTCCCCATTGCTGTATTATGCACAGCCTTTCTAACAATAATTTCTCGAAAATACCCTCTCAGCTTCTCACTGCATCACGTGGTATTTGTAGCCACACAGCAGCAGCATCTATCGTCCTTTCAGCTCCCTGCAGAGCCATATTTTGATTCTTCTGTTACAACTGAAGGATCTGACTTGGCACTGTTTTGACAATGAATTTTACGCAAAATTTCCTATGAGATTCATTCCATTAAAAGTGGGCAGGTTGCCATGGCCTGCTGGGTCCCTGATCTGCTATCAAAGCTGGTGCATCCCTGAGCATTTCTGGTCCTTTTCTGACTTCATTAAGGCTCTGATCAGGGTAGAAATATGCATACACAAGAGAGAATAGAGATTTTGGACCCCACAGGAAAAATGTGAGATCCAGCTTTGTTAATATCTTAAATCCAGTTCAGCGTTACAGTTGCACCATAAATAGGCATTCTTACAGGTGCCAAATGACTGTAAAGAGGCAATTTGGGAGTCAGCAGTACTCTACCTATATAAGTATGGTCGCAGTTTTTTGAACAGTTGCAAAACACTGGGCAATTGGAGTACACTAGCAGCAAGATACAAATTACTTTGGCAGTTTTGGTAGTTATTTGTACCCAGCAGAGAAGCTCTCTGCAAAAGTAAATAAGAAAGTAGCTGAAGAATTTCTATTTCACCCACTGGCTGAAGACAGTTACCTCATTTTCACCAAACACAGAAGTTAAAGTAATTTTCCTTGAGGAAAAAAAAATGTCTCTTCTGACACTTCTGCTGCAAAAAAGAGTTATGATGATATGAACCTATGTTGCCTTTACTTTTGGGGAAATACAGGTAATAATTGAAACAATATTTCTGAGGAGGATTTCTGTATATATTTTAGAACTGAGAACTTTTGAAGTAATTTTACTACATAATATGTTTTTACTGTATTTGCCTTCTTAAAGAATGAGCCAATGATTTTAAAATGTCCTAGCTCTCTACTGGAAGATGTGCAAATGACACAACCTTATCAGCTTCCCTTTGTACAAAAATTAATAACCTCAAAATTAAAAACTACCCCTTGCTATCTTCTTTACAATAAAGGCTCTCCTTTGTTCCACACTCTTATTATTATTTCAGTTATTGTACCACAACAATTGTGGTGAGGACTTGTAGTTTTGGAGGGTAATGTAAACTGCTTTTCCTCCAGTGAACTCTGCTATCTGTGCCCAAAAAAGTGATGGAGCTGACCCAGCAATGCAGAAAGCATCCTGCCATGTCAGACCTGCCTTGCATGAAGCTGCCTCATCACCCAAAGTGTGCAGCATGTCCTGATGTCCTGTAGGCTTTTTCCATTTTGCCCTATTCAGCTGAAGCAGCTTGAAATAAAATAGGGATCTTGAACCCTTGAAATGGGAGAAATTTAGAGAAGTTATTTCCATAAATGGAAATGACTTCTGGAAAAGCAACTATAAACATGAAGGGAAGAGGTAGTTCTTTCAGTTTGTTTTGTTTTCTTACCTTCCTCCAAGTGTGCTAAGGGGAAAAAAAAAAAAGAGATAGGCAGACAGAAAGATGCAGACGGAGATACAGAATGTACCCATTAAGTATCTGCAAGGAATGCTTTATCAGCTTGCTCGTTGGCTGCCGAGTTGTGCATTTGAGGGCATTAGATTCCCAAGAGCAGGGATCTATGGAGGATTCCTACCTTTGGAAAAGAACAAAAACACAGAATAAAAGCCTTAATCTTATAACCCCCAATCTAGCCAACTAAATCCCCAATTAGCAATTCAAACAGATTAATATAGTCCTTCCCTCCATTAAGCATACCCGACATCATGTGGTTGTGTATTTTAAAGTTACATTTTTCTTATGTGCAGCTCTCTTTCTCACCAAAGTTGACAATTCCTTTCAGACCGTCTTACTTTTCCACAGACTGGGAATGGACTCTATCTTTCTGCCTTTTTTTGCCCCTTTTTGTTTAAGTGCAGTCAGTTTTGTTGGTGCACTCTGGCAGAATCTCTTAAATTAATGCTCTCCTTTATTGTACATGTCTCCAAATGTCTGTCCACCTTGCCATTTCCATACTGCAGGCTGTTTGCAGTGTTCCCACTGAGAGCAAAGTAAAGGGTAGAAATGGCACACTTCTCTGGCTTGCTAGAGAATTCATTCTCATTCCCATCAAACTCATGAGTGCTGTAAATTTAATGGCCATTTCTCCTCTTGACTGAGGAGAAACTGAAGCGGAGGCTGTCCCAGCTCAGAAGAAGCACTGCTAATGCTTCCCTAAGCAAGGCAGTTTGGATCTTTCCCAGATTTCAGGGAGTAAGCCAGTGCCAAATGCCTTTGTACATATCAAGAGCATGTTTCTAGAAAGTATGAATTACCTGCGACCACTAGAGGTGGCCAGCAGTCTGTTGACTGACCCTATAACTATTTCTCCCATTTTTGCAACCCCGTGGATCTAGGTGGTGCAGAAGACCATGTATGTCCCTGGTCCTCTCCCATCCCTCACTCCCCCAGGCATGTAAAATGACGGTGGAAACATTTTGACCCTTCTCTACCCTGACCAACCAGCAATTTCATCCCTCTCATCTAATTTCTGGTTTTAAGTAAAGGTAAGGAAGAGTTGACCATTTTTTTTTCTCATATTTTCTTAAGCAGACCATTTTAAAATTTCCTCCTTTTCCATCAGCTGCAGTAGATTACCAAAAGGGATGCTTTGGGATGAAAGTGAGTCTTGCAACAGAGTGTGTCTATAACCTCCCATAACTGACCAGCTCTTAAGCAATTGAGTTTGGGAGCATTGAGGTTCATGCCCATGCTACTGGTTTTCCTTCCACACAAGTGCAATATCCCTCAGGAAGAGTAAAGATTCACCGTTTTTTTCATCCTCTTCTGCATATTTCAGCTTCAGGCAGGTGACTCAGAGGAAGACTACTTGGTAAAAGTAAATTTGAAAGGTTTAAAACTTACAAAAATACAGTTGTTGAAAATATTTCTCTCCCATCGAGTCCTGCACTCCTGCAGGAAAAGCAAAAGAAACATGTCTTAGAAGGTAAATGTAGGCAGACAGCTTGTATTTTCTCAGTTCTTACCTTTGAGTCTTAGGAAATTAATAGTGAAACTTGTAAGAAAGTTTAATAAAAGGAATGCAGGCATGAGTGCATGGAGATTATTATATTGATCAGCATCCTGCATATATCCAATCCGTATGTCCAATCACCAGCAGCATTTCACAAATACTTTACTGCACCATCCAGCACTTTACATATACAGATGTGCCTACACCATATATAGACAACAATAAGGCCCAGTCTGACATGTGAAGCATAAGAGGAATAACAAATACATGTCTGCTTTACTTGGCTACCAGGTGGAACAAAACTTCCCTAAACATTTTTGATCAAAGGTACTTTCCATCAAACAAATTTTTGTCTGTATTTTAAAAGTTTAACTTGACTTTTATATAGTTTAAGTTTGCTTTAGAGATGTTCTTTTTTCCTTGTTTCTGAGAGTTTAAAAATTTAGTAATCAAAATAAAACTATTTTGTTTTAGACAAATAATGAATATTTTTAATATTTATGAGAAAAAAATATCAATTTTATCAGTTCTTGTCTTAAGCTTTAAGAGATTCATCAAATCAAGAACTTGTTCTTCTTGTTGAACTTACTTTGAAGTTTTGTTACCACATTTCAGAATCCCCCATATTTTGTTTTTTGTTTTGCATCTCATAGTCACTGGTGACTTTCTAAAACCTTGCTTTATCATAATTCGGGTTTTGTTCCAAAATATCTATTTTCTCTTTCTGTAAGAGCCTTTAAGACTTAAGGATCAAGAAGTGGCACATGATCAGAATCTATTTCAAACACTTTGCGACCATGCAGCAAATAAAATTAATGGAATGGATGCTCCTTACATTTAAATGTTACAATTTATTGGTAGCTTCACAGGTTCTCAACATTTTATGTTGGCCTTACTGAAGTACAAAGACCAAGCTTTATTAAAAGTGGGTTGTATGGCTATAAGGATAACAGATGGATATGCACACAGACGTGTAGTTCAGAGAGGGCCTCTGACCTTCACTCTGCCCTGGAGACCAGCCAGTGATCGAAATAGGTGGAAGCGGACAACAGAGAACAAGGAGATGTAAGGATTCCACATTTGATGAAATCCATGTTGCTGCAGCTCCTGGCCAGGCTGGTTCACCCACCTTTCCTTCTGAGGGATGGATCAGCTCCCCCCCCAAACACACTCACATGCACACACATAGAGCAAACACCCATGAGTTTGCAGACTCATGCACGGGAAGCGTGGAATCTGTGAAGCTACAATGAGAGCAGTGTTGGGTGGAAGGTATCAGCCAGGGTGGATGGGTGCACGCTGGCCCTGGGGGCGTGGGCTGGGGGAGAGGGGAACTGAGTGGGGATTTCCAGTGCTGTGCTGGAGAAAACAGGCAAGAAGGAGGAAATGCTGGCTGAGCCAAGCCCTGTGGCATGACTCCCAGAAAAGGAGTCAATATCGCAGGGATCTGGAGGCATCAGAGGTGGTTTTCAACAGCTGGCTTTAACAGCTGGATCTACCTACTTTGCTGACTGTGAGATTGCACAGTAGCAAGGATGGGAGCAATTTATCTCCTGGATATCCCAAATCCATGAGGGTTGGCCAGGGGTAACTGCAGACAGCCAGAGTAACTGGGCAGACAGGCTGATTTTTAATGGCAGTGAAACACTTGCACAGAAGTCAAGCTCACCGGCTACGCTGGCTGTGGGCAGAGAACCACATGCTGTACTGATACAGCCCGTGAGTCATGGGCAACGCTTTCACCAATAGCAGAACATGACTTTTTTTAATGACTCCATTAATAGGCTCCTTGCAAGATCAGGCACACAATTCTTCTTGCTCAGCTTATTTGCTCTTTGCAGGAGTATTCTTCTTATGCTCAGTGAGCTCTTAATTTGCAGTCAAGTTAAAACCTGATCTTGTTCCTTCCACTGTCAAAAAATAGCAATGTCCTCTGAATTCCTTGCTGCACAGAAGAGCCAAACCTCACTCATGTGCTGGCAGTTGCTCATTTTTGACAGATAGTGGCTTGCAGCAAGCACGCTTTGCTACTGTGAGGAACCAGGTTAGGCCCAATCCTGTTAACACCTAATGCTAGACAAAATCCTTACTCACAGAAGTCAACAGGCATAATACATTACAGTAAATGTTACATCTACTAGTGTTCTGCAACCCCTTTTCCCTCAGATACTGATATAAAGTTACAGGCGTTCTTATTTAAGAATGTGTTTAAGGCTGTTTCACTCTCCTTTAGGTGTCATGCTATATACAGATTAATTTATCAAGGCTTAAATTCTTTCTTGCTGAGTTGTTTGTATTGTTTTAATGCCACTTTTACAGTATAACCCAACCTTCTTTGTGAACACATTTTAATAATAGTGTCAATACAGTCTTCACTTGCAATAAAAAAAGTCAGCAACATGTACTTTGCAGTTTAATGAAAAAATATTTTAATGAATTATTGTATTAAGAGGAAAACAGTGTCTTAATCCTATCATAATAGCTCTATCTTCTATACCAGCAGATTTATGTTTCAAGGGGCTCAAAGGCACAAAAGCCACCAACATCTATCAAAAGATAAAACACAAAGCAGCTAATAAAAAAGTAAACCAGCTATGAACTTATAGAGTTTTTGATTCTTGGGGAAATAAGGAGCAGGAGTCAGCAGAACTGCAACCTTGGATTTCTAGAGGGCAGGTTTTGCCCTGTTTAGGAGCCTGGTTGACAGAATCCCTTGGGAGGCAATCCTGAAGGGCAGAGAGGTCCAGGAAGGCTGGACATTCTTCAAGAAGGAAATGTTAAAGATGGAGGAGTGGACCATTTCCATGTGCCAAAAGACAAATCAGTGGGGAAGACTAGCCTAGCTGAACAGGGAGCTTTGTCTGGAATTTGAGGTAAAAGAAAAAAAAAAAAAGGAGACTTTATGAGCTTTGTGAGAAGGGTCTTACCTCTCAGAAGGGCTACATGGATCTTGTGAGGTTATGCAAGGAGAAAATTAGAAGGGACAAAGCCCAGCTAGAACTTTGTCTACTGTTGTAAAAAGCAATAAAAAATGCTTCTATAAATGCATTAGCAGCAAAAGAAAGGTTGATGAGAATCCCCATCCTTTACTGGATACAAGGAAAACAGTGATTAAGGATGAGGAAAAGGCTGAGGTAGTTAATGCCTCCTTTGTCTCAGCCTTCAATAATAATACCAGTTATTTTCAAGGTACTCAACCCCCTGAGCTGGAAGACAGGAACATGGAACAGAACGAAGTACCAATAATCCAAGAGGAAACAGTCAGCAATCTGCTACATCACTCAGAGAGATGCACGAGTCTCTGGGGCCGGATGGCATACACCCAAGGGTACTGAGGGAACTGGTGGAAGTGCTCACTGAGCCACTTTCCATCATTTACCAGCAGTCCTGGGTAACTGGGGAGGTCCCAGTTGACTGAAAGTCAGCAAATGTGATGCCCATTTACAGGAAGGGCTGGAAGGAGGATGCAGGGAACTACAGGCTTGTCAACCTGACCTTAGTGCCAGGAAAGGTCATGGAGCAGATCATCTTGAGTGCCATTATGTGGCATATACAGGACAACTAGGGGACCAAGCCCAGCCAGTATGGGTTTGTGAAAGGCATGTTCTGCTTGACAAACCTGATTTCCTTCTATGACAAGGTGACCATATTAGCGGATGAGGGAAAGGCTGTGGATGTGTCTACCCAGACTTTAAAGCCTTTGACACCATTTCCCACAACATTCTCCTGCAGAAACTGGCTACTCATGGCTTGGACAGGTCCATTGTTCACTGGGTAAAAAACTGGCTGCATGGCTGGGGCCAGAGAACGGTGGTGAATGGAGTTACATTCAGCTGGTGGCCAGTCACAAGTGTGTTCCCCAGAGCTCAGTACTGGGGACAGTCCTGTTTAATGTCTTTATTGATGATCTGGGTGTGGGAGTTGAGTAGGGATCCCTCAGTCAGTTTGCAGATGACACCAAGTTGGGTGGGAGAAAGAGATGGGGAATGAAGCTGGTGAAGGGTCTGGAGCACAAGTCTTATAAGGGTTGGCTGAGGAAGCTGAGGGTGTTTAACCTGGAGGAAAGGAGGTTCAAGGGGGACCTTATCATTCTCTACCTGAAAGGAGGTTGTAGCAAAGTGGAGGTTGGTCTCTTCTCCCCAGTAAAATGCCACGGGACAAGAGGAAATGACCTCACAGGTTTAGACTGGGTATTAGGAAAATTTCTTCTCAGAAAGTGTTGTCAAGCATCAGAACATGCTGCCCAGGGAAGTGGTGGAGTCACCAGCTCTGAAGGTATTTCAAAGATGTGTAGATGTGGCATTCAGGGACATGGCTTAGTGGTGGACTTGGCAGTACTGTGTTAACCATTGTGCTCTGTGATCTTAGAAGTCTTTTCCAAACTGAACAATTCTGATTCTACAGAAATGGTGAAAGTTACAACACCTTAGTGCATTAAAAGCTGTCTAAGTTATCAGACACTGCAATATATTATGATAACAGTTTTGGCAAAACACAGGTAGATATTTTGTACATATTAAAGTCATTTGCAATTTTTCCTCTTCTCATGATGGATTTTATGCCTTAGCTATTTCCAGTTCTTTCTAAAGCAGGGCTCATTGTGCAAGGGCACACACACACACACACACACATATATATATGTATATATATACAGACCCTTAAAAGTCTGTGTATTTCCAGAGAGCACTGACATGATTAGTTTTGTGGATGGGAGGAAGACACAGAGGGTTTGCTAGGCTTCACCAATCCAGTGGAGACCAGGAGTCTGATAAACAGAACATTGTTGGGCATAAATAGCGAAGAGAGTCAAAGGATAAAGGAGCTAATTTGGACCTTCGAACCATCACTTCCTTTCTCCTTGTCTCATGTCTCTTTTGTAGGAAGCTCTTCAGGATACAGACTATCTGTTATAGGTTTCTAAGTTGCCATGTCCATTGGC